CTTCTTTCTATTTTTTATATATCCAGCCTATCCTTTCAGAGAAGAACAAAATTTGATCAATCCTTTCCCATTATAATTTTAGGGACTTAATGTGTCAGTTCTTCCTAGGGAAACTGCATTTTATAAAAGGAAGAACTATGATGTCTGAATAAAGGAAGAACATGTTGATGTTAGATGCTTGGAGGGGACAGGGACCCTTGGATTAAATCCAGTAAAGGAAAATGTTCTTTAAATCTGGAAAAGGTTGGTTTCCTGGCTTTTAATGAAGAAGAAAGAGAAAACTTTCCATTTAAGGAGAACTCCCCCCACCTCCTTCCCCACATACATGTTGAGAAGAGTTTGCCTACATCTTGCTTTTTCAAGCTTTTTCAAGTGGGACAACTTAAATATCTTCTAGCTATTTGTTCCAGTAGTTCAATATATATTCTTGGTTATATCAAATATTTGATATTTTAGAAAATCAGCCTTGTTAAATTAAAGTGGATAGGATGGCATTTTAAGGTCACCTTGGTATGATCAAACATGATGCTGACATTTACAATCCATTTCCATTGCTTCTCATATGTTTCCTTGTCAGTTAAATCCACACTCTTCAAATTTAAAGGAGTTTCAAATCTAATAATGCAATTATAAATATTGTGCTGGAATCAGTAACTGCCCACTGATTTCCATGCTGGTTACAAAATCTTCATATGTCCTTTTCTCATCATGTAAAAAAATGGAAATAGTTGTATTAATAATGGTACTTGTAAAAAAATAATGTTACTTGTGTAAGTAGAAACAAGTATAAATATTACATGTTTTATATGTTCCTTAAGTTTGTGGTTTTTGTTCATATAAAAAACCCCACAAAATAAATTTGCATATTAAAAAAGAAATAAAGAAATAAAGTCATATTATTGGGAGCCCCCTAAGGCATGATGAGGTGTCTAGAATGAGGTGTCTGCATTCTCAGCTTCCATTTCTTCACCCTACCTCTCCCTCAGATACCCCCAATTTCATCTCTCCTAGCAGCTCCTCTTCCACCTCCACCCTCACACTGAAGGTTGCCCTGTCCATGACCTGAGACCTCCATGAGTATAGGGAAGAAAGATCTTTGCCTCTTCCTCCAGTAGCTTGGACTTGTCCCAGCCCCCAATTACCCTTTTTTACTGGGGAGCTGGGAAATTCATGCTAAGCACCTTGAATGGGAGTAGCCTCAAAGTGGGCAAGTCTGTGGTTCAGGAGGGTGAGGTTCTTGTTCTTTCCCTACCCATTTTCCACCCAACCCTCCTATCCTCTTGTTTATCCCTCTCCTGAAGGGAAATTTTTATTTTATTTATAACTTCAGACTTGGGCCTTCTGTTTTTTCTTCTCCATTAACTTGAGTGATCTGATGAAAGACAGACAGATGTCCCATAAGGATGATTGGACAAGAACTTTCATTTTTTAATAAAAATATTAAAACAATAACCTTTTTCTTTTGGTACCAGGGATTGAACTCGGGTCCTTACATTTGCGCAGCAGGCAGTGAAACCACTGAGCTAAATCCCCAGCCTAAAAAAATGAACTTTTAAACTAACTTACAAAAGACATTATTAATTTAAAGTTATAGCAGGGTTTTGTGGAAACCACATTGTCACATGTAGAAGGAATTTGAGCCACAGTGTGAGGACCATTTATTTTTTAAATGTCAGGATTCTTTCATTGTTGTGGACTGAGTAATGAGTCAGTTCTCACACACAGCGTGTCTCCATTCTAACTACTGTGGAATTGTGTCAGCTTTTCATTGCTGTGATGAAAGATTTGTGAAAATAAGCTTAAAAGGAGCAAATGTTTATTTTGGCTTATAATTTCAGAAGTTTCAGCCCATGGTTGATTGGCTCCACTGCTTTTGGGCCTGTAGCAAGGCAGAACATCATGGTAGGGAGTGAGTGGTAGAAGAGTTGCTTACCATACGGCCTATAGGAAACAGAGAGGAGAGGCTAGGATCCCAATTTACCCTTCAAGGACACCCCCTCATCCACATGAGCTAAATTCCTTCTGCTAAGCCCTACCTCCCGGTGTGTCCACCATCTCTCAATAACACCATAGGCTGGTGACTAAGCCTTTAACATGGGAGACTTTGGGGGAGACTTCAGATCCAAACCATAACAGGAGCTTTCATCCCACAGTTTGCTATGGAACCATTTACCTTTTGAAAGCATCTTTTTAGGATACAATCTGCCTTTGCTCTTTTTTAGATTGATCACTATTAACCTAGTGCCCAAACATCAGTGTAGGCATATTCATTACATCCATTATGAAGATTGTCATTTCCCTACTGAGTGGTTTTAGCACCCTGTTAAAATATCATTTGTCCATATATGTGAGAGTTTATTTCTGAGATTTCTATGTATCTCTTTCATTGGTGAGAATATCTGCCTTTACGCTAGTATCACATTGTTTTTGATTACTGTAAATTTTGAAATCAGTAAGTGTGAGATCTCCAACTATAAAAAAAATGTAAAAATAGTTTTGGGTCCTACACATGTGCTTTATTTCTCCATTCTGTTAATGTGGTGTTCTGTATTGAGCACTGATTTTTTTTGTTTTGGTACTGGGGATCGAACTCAGGACCTTGTGCTTGAGAGGCAGGCGGTGGAACCACTGAGCTAAATCCCTGGCCCCTGAACACTGATTTTTGAATGTTGAAACATTCTTGCATTCTAGGAATAAATCTCACTTGGTGATGGCATTTAATTCTTTTAATATGCTGTTGAAATTGGCTTTCTAGTATTTTATTGAGAATTTTTGCATCAGTACTCACAGGGGATATTGCTTTGTAATTTTCTTGAAGTCTGGCTTTGATATTAAGATAATGCTGGCCTTGGAATGAGTTAGGAAGTTTTCTCAACTTTCTTAGAAGAGTTTGAAAAGGATTAGTGTTAATTCTTTAAACATTTGGTACAATTTAGCAGTGAAGCCATCTACTCCTGGCCTTTTTCTTTGGGATA